TAAGAAGTGATCTTATTTCCCTTATGCAAAAGGTCATTGGTGATTTACATGGAAGTTTCCTTAAAAAATAAAATTATTCAGGTAAATTTTGGTGTTGTCATTGAAGCCTGATTGTGTGTTTTCTGGCATTCAGGTCTCACTGAGGCAGGTTTTTCTGAGGTCAGTGGTCCATCTGCCTCCTCCTCCTGAGTAGTGCTAGCTTGGGCTTTCTTCCCCAGAGCAGGACTCCTCAGTCTTCCTTACCCTGATGCTTCTGGTGCAGATGAGTCATTTTTCAGGTTTCATTTTGCTGTGAACTGTTTGGTCTTGTTAATTGGGCCAATTTGGTTTCACCAGGTTATTTCCAGGCATTTGTGGGTGATGATGTGACTGATGTTCAGCGTGTGCTTAGTGAACCTCACAGAGTGCTTTCATTATCCCTCTTTATCACACAAATAACTGAGGGTGTGTGTGTGTGTGTGTGTGTGTGTGTGTGTGTGTGTGTGTGCATGGACTAGAACTAGAACTTTGTGGCCCAGGCTCATCACCTGCCTGGAACTCATCATGCAGCACAGGCTGGCCTTGATCTCATGGTGGTCTGTGTGCCTCAGTCCCCCTAGTTCTGGCATTACGGGGTGAGCCACCATCCAGGCCCAGGTTGGAGCTCAGGCTTTAAGTGACTTGACTTCCAGCTTCATTTCAGTTTGCAGTGGCCTGGGGAGTGGGAATTGTTGAGTTGGCTTTCTGATGGGAAATGTTCTTTGGGGTAGCTGTTGTGTGTGAATTGATGTGTGCAGATTTTTCCTTGTCATTCATTCTTCCATAGTGATTACACTGCTGTAGAGGTTGTTTAACCTAGAGGGTGTAAAGGGTGTGGGAAGCTGTCTGCAGTGTGTGTGTGTGTTCCATGTAGACAGGCCATTTGCATGCGGGACTGTGTGACACCGGCCTGGGTCCTGGCACCCATGGATATGGAAGGACAGGTGTCCCTTATGTCGGCTTCTCCTTGGGTTGTGGGTGGAACTGATGAGGCTCCCAGCCCTTAGCCAGCGCCAGGTCCCCCTCTAGTGTTGGTGTTGAGAACGAGTCTGTGGGTTACAGACTGCAGGATTGTGCGTGACTGTTCAGGGTGGATGTGCACAACAGTGTGTTCTAAACACAGGTTCTCACTTGTGTTATTGGATCTGCTCTCTAGCAAGGGCCGTGATATATAAAGTGCATTCTGTTGCCTTAAGGCTCCGCCCTCCCTTGGCCTCTCCCACCCTTACCATTCTCCTTCACATAGTCCCTTGTTAGAGTTGTGTCTTGTTGACCAAGATCTCTGTATAACTGTGGATTCAGAGCTTCCCCGGAGCCCAGCAGGCGCCTGTAGGTAGTTCTTCTCAGCTGTTCCTATGTCTGCAGCATCTCTTATGCCAGATGAACCAGGTTTATTGCCCACCCCCCAGTAGGCAAGAGAAACTGCAGTTGGGTGTTATTCTGGTCTGGTGGGGGGCCAGAGGAGGTGAGGAGGCATTGTGAGCTGAGAGGAAAAGCTTGGAAGACAGGTTGGGGGCGGGTGTTGGTGAGTGTCTGCTGGGGAGAGGTGAGGGAGAGCTGGTGAGTGTCTGTCTGCTGGGGAGGGTGAGGGAGAGCTGGTGAGTGTCTGCTGGGGAGAGGTGAGGGAGAGCTGGTGAGTGTCTGTCTGCTGGGGAGGGTGAGGGAGAGCTGGTGAGTGTCTGTCTGCTGGGGAGGGTGAAGGAGAGCTGGTGAGTGTCTGCTGGGGAGGGTGAGGGAGAGCTGGTGAGTGTCTGTCTGCTGGGGAGGGTGAGGGAGAGCTGGTGAGTGTCTGCTGGGGAGAGGTGAGGGAGAGCTGGTGAGTGTCTGCTGGGGAGAGGTGAGGGAGAGCTGGTGAGTGTCTGTCTGCTGGGGAGGGTGAGGGAGAGCTGGTGAGTGTCTGCTGGGGAGGGGTGAGGGAGAGCTGGTGAGTGTCTGCTGGGGAGGGGTGAGGGAGAGCTGGTGAGTGTCTGCTGGGGAGGGGTGAGGGAGAGCTGGTGAGTGTCTGTCTGCTGGGGAGGGTGAGGGAGAGCTGGTGAGTGTCTGCTGGGGAGGGTGAGGGAGAGCTGGTGAGTGTCTGCTGGGGAGGGTGAGGGAGAGCTGGTGAGTGTCTGCTGGGGAGGGTGAGGGAGAGCTGGTGAGTGTCTGCTGGGGAGGGTGAGGGAGAGCTGGTGAGTGTCTGCTGGGGAGGGGTGAGGGAGAGCTGGTGAGTGTCTGCTGGGGAGGGGTGAGGGAGAGCTGGTGAGTGTCTGCTGGGGAGGGTGAGGGAGAGCTGGTGAGTGTCTGCTGGGGAGGGTGAGGGAGAGCTGGTGAGTGTCTGTCTGCTGGGGAGGGGTGAGGGAGAGCTGGTGAGTGTCTGCTGGGGAGGGTGAGGGAGAGCTGGTGAGTGTCTGTCTGCTGGGGAGGGGTGAGGGAGAGCTGGTGAGTGTCTGTCTGCTGGGGAGGGTGAGGGAGAGCTGGTGAGTGTCTGCTGGGGAGGGTGAGGGAGAGCTGGTGAGTGTCTGTCTGCTGGGGAGGGGTGAGGGAGAGCTGGTGAGTGTCTGCTGGGGAGGGTGAGGGAGAGCTGGTGAGTGTCTGTCTGCTGGGGAGGGTGAGGGAGAGCTGGTGAGTGTCTGCTGGGGAGGGTGAGGGAGAGCTGGTGAGTGTCTGTCTGCTGGGGAGGGTGAGGGAGAGCTGGTGAGTGTCTGCTGGGGAGGGGTGAGGGAGAGCTGGTGAGTGTCTGTCTGCTGGGGAGGGTGAGGGAGAGCTGGTGAGTGTCTGCTGGGGAGGGGTGAGGGAGAGCTGGTGAGTGTCTGCTGGGGAGGGTGAGGGAGAGCTGGTGAGTGTCTGCTGGGGAGGGTGAGGGAGAGCTGGTGAGTGTCTGCTGGGGAGGGTGAGGGAGAGCTGGTGAGTGTCTGTCTGCTGGGGAGGGTGAGGGAGAGCTGGTGAGTGTCTGCTGGGGAGGGGTGAGGGAGAGCTGGTGAGTGTCTGTCTGCTGGGGAGGGTGAGGGAGAGCTGGTGAGTGTCTGCTGGGGAGGGGTGAGGGAGAGCTGGTGAGTGTCTGCTGGGGAGGGTGAGGGAGAGCTGGTGAGTGTCTGCTGGGGAGGGTGAGGGAGAGCTGGTGAGTGTCTGCTGGGGAGGGTGAGGGAGAGCTGGTGAGTGTCTGCTGGGGAGGGGTGAGGGAGAGCTGGTGAGTGTCTGCTGGGGAGGGTGAGGGAGAGCTGGTGAGTGTCTGTCTGCTGGGGAGGGTGAGGGAGAGCTGGTGAGTGTCTGTCTGCTGGGGAGGGTGAGGGAGAGCTGGTGAGTGTCTGCTGGGGAGAGGTGAGGGAGAGCTGGTGAGTGTCTGTCTGCTGGGGAGGGTGAGGGAGAGCTGGTGAGTGTCTGCTGGGGAGGGTGAGGGAGAGCTGGTGAGTGTCTGCTGGGGAGGGTGAGGGAGAGCTGGTGAGTGTCTGTCTGGGGAGGGGTGAGGGAGAGCTGGTGAGTGTCTGCTGGGGAGGGGTGAGGGAGAGCTGGTGAGTGTCTGCTGGGGAGGGGTGAGGGAGAGCTGGTGAGTGTCTGCTGGGGAGGGGTGAGGGAGAGCTGGTGAGTGTCTGCTGGGGAGGGGTGAGGGAGAGCTGTTGAGTGTGGCAGGAGGGAGAGTTAAGGCCTTGGGCTCTGCTAACCTAGGGTGCCTCTCCACTCTAGTTTTCCTCACAAAGCTGTCCCTTCTTTAGTGGTGGTGACAACTGTGGCGTTTTGGGGATTGAGGTGTAGTGAGTAGAGGCTGTGGGGAGGGCTCTGCCAGCTATCCAGGGTGACTGAGTGGCTCCTAAGCTTGCTCACCTGCCAGTTCCCAGGGCAGGTTAGCCTCTCTGGAGAGAGCCCCATGTCCCAGTTGTTGAGGCTGTGGAGAGCAGGGCGAGGAGACGCGGGCGCCTTGGACATACCCTCACAGGGTCTTGAGGAATTAGCGGCCTCAGTGTTTCTGAGGTGCTGCTGCTCTGCTGGCCTTGTGTTGGGCAGTGTCCTGGTTATGCTGGTCCAGGAGGCTCGTCCTCTACATCTTCTCGGCCTTCATGCTGCAGAGCTCGGCTGTTATGTTGAAATGGATCTGAAATGAGTGCCAGACAGAGAGACGGTAGTTGATCCAAGGCAAGGAGAGAAGGCAGGTGGAGCCCCAAAAGCTCAATCCTTGTGTGGGGACCATATGGTGGTAGGCGGGAGGGGACCTCCATGGTGCCTCCACTGTCCTGGAAGGACAGGAGCTTAGAAAGGGAACTTTTGTTTGTCCACCCCACCCTACCCCACCCTAGCGAGTACAGGAACCCCATGAGGAAGTAAGCTGTAAAAACTGTTAGGCATATTGATCACTCTGTACCCTTAGGGCATTGGTTCCAGGACTCACTTTGGTTCCCAAACCTGCAGATGGGCACTCTGGAGGGCAGAGTGTGAGGGCAGAGTAGTGTCTAGAGCACCCTGGGAGACAGTCACACTGGTAAGGCGGGACTTAAGAGAGCATTTGATGACTTTGGGTGTGCCAGAAACTGGCGGCCTTTCTACAGGAGTGGATCCAAGGCTGCCTTAGGTCCTATGAGGTGCTCCCCCGCTTTGTTCATGGGGGTCTGGAGAAGCTGGGCTGCTTTGATCTGTTGGGGTTGGGGGAAGCAGGGTGATGATGCTGGACAGAAGTGTCCTGTTCCTCTCTGTGTGCTACACACAAACCCTGACTTGGTTCCAGGTTCTCAAACTGGGCTGTGTGAGGGCACCCCGGAGAGTAGGTTCAAGATGGAAATGCCCTCAGTCCTGTTCTCCAGCAGGGGCAGGGCTCCAGGCCGCTCCTGCCCGTAAGATAATGCAGGAGGGTTTTATGTGCGTAGTGGTTTTCTGTCTGGTTGTCATTTACACACTGTGCTTTGGTGTTATAAAATGTGTAAGTCTAAAATAATAACAAAATATTCTTTCCAATTCAATACTTTTTCTAGTTTTGTTTTAAAACTAACTTTCCCCTTTTTCTTCTGCTTCTGTAGGACACTAAATTATGGATAATAATGGAATATCTTGGTGGAGGCTCTGCCCTGGATCTAGTAAGTATCATTGTCGCTGTGTAACACACACCTCAGCCTGTTCCACTGTGGCTGTGCAGCACACACACTTCAGCCTGTTCCACTGTGGCTGTGTAACACACACCTCAGCCTGTTCCACTGTGACTGTGCAGCACACACCTCAGCCTGTTCCACTGTGGCTGTGTAACACACACACCTCAGCCTGTTCCACTGTGACTGTGCAGCACACACACCTCAGCCTGTTCCACTGTGACTGTGTAACACACACCTCAGCCTGTTCCACTGTGGCTGTGTAACACACACCTCAGCCTGTTCCACTGTGGCTGTGCAGCACACACCTCAGCCTGTTCTTTCTTGTGTTGGTTTGAACAGGAATTTTGGGTCCATTTCACTTCTTCCTTAAGGAAGCATAAAGCTATTCCTACCCTGTTGTATTCTTATACAGAACATAAAATTATAGGGCGCTTTGAAAGCTCTGCGGGGAGGGTTGTTTCATTACAAACCAGAAAATTAATCTGTAGCAGCAATGAAAGCTTTGGCCTGGAGTTCATTGTTTGTCTTAGAGCACTTGGCTAGTGTATTTTTCAGACCAAAATCATCAACCTCTGGTGGAGTGGCTGTTACTTCTGTAATGGCCGCCATGTTTTTTCCCTTCAGGGTTTTTTTTTTTAAATTTAATTTTATATGTATGGTTGTTGGACCTGCATATACGTCCGTACACAGCTTCAGTGCCTAGTGCCTGCAGAGTCCAGAAGAGGGCTTTAGATCCCCGGAGCTGAAGTGACGCCTCTGGAGGTGCTGGCGAGGGAACCCACGTGTTCTTTTAGAGCAGCAAGCACCGTGTGTGGCTGAGCGTCTCTGCAGCCTTCTGTCTCGGTCTTACGTCTCAGATGGGAACGGCTCTCAGCATCAGCTCCTCCCGCTTTCCTTTCCAGGTCAGGAACAGAATGTGATTATTGGGGATGGCAGTGGGTGCTGGAGCAGCGGCCATCCGCCAGGGCGCCCACGCACGGCCATCTCTGATCTTGCCAGTGCCTGTGCTGCATCAGAACAGACCTAACCCAGTATTCTCTTCCTCTGGAGAGAATAGTGCCCTTTACAGCCAGCCCACAGAGAGGGCCGAGGATGTTAGGAGGAGATGTTTAGTTCACATAGGGCTTTGTGAGCACCCCCAGAGAACCAGCCCCGTGAAGTGCCCCTCCTGTTAACTGGCACACTGTTGCCCAGCACTTGTCTTCTGTTTCCATTGTGTCCATGCGTTAAAAGTAACGTGAGTTCGAGGCCAGCCTGGTCTATAGAGTGAGTTCCAGGACAGCCAGGGCTACACAGAGAGACCCTGTCTTGACCCCCCCCCCCCCAAAAAAAAAAAAAGTTATGTAGTTGGGGGCTGAGGAGATCAGTGTCAGCTGGCAAAGTGCTTGTCATGCAGGCATGAGGATCTGAGTTCAGATCCCCATCGCTCTCGTAAAGCCTGGCCCGCCCCAGAGGTGCACGTCTGTCCCAGGGTGGCAAGGCACAGACAGGAAGAGCCCTGGGCTCCCTGTCAGCTGATCTAACCAATCAGTGAGAGACCTGGTGTCACAAAGATGTGGATGGTACCCAGTGTTGATTGCTGGACTCCAGACAAGCACAGATTCACACAGCATGTACAGACAACACACACGCACCAAAATTCATGCGATTGCACTCTTCAGACCTCTGTACATGGGAGTCTTGTGAGTGGTGACCCCCAGTTGGCCGAATCCTTGATTTTAGCATTGAAGGTGAGTGTTGGATGAGAGGGTGATGGGTGAGAGCTGAAGGAAGTCTCACACAGGTTTTCTAAGGAAAGCCCCCCCCCCCCCCAACAGTTTTCTTTCCTACAATACACCACCAGGTAGTTTCCCAAGAGGAGAAACCTCTAAAACAACATGTCTCCAGAAGCTGATACACTGAGGAAATTGCACGTTGTTGTAAGCCATAGGATTGCTTAAAATACTGTTCAAAACGAAGATTTCAAGAAAAAGTCAGTATGAAACAAAGCTAAACTGTGATATTAAAATGGGAAGAAACCAGCTGAATATATTTTATGGTCCTTTCTATAAATATCTACACTGCACAAATAACTTCACTTTTTTACTCTTGAGGGTAGTACAGGAATGTAGAAAATTACTTCCTTTTGTACAGTTAGATTTCCTGTTACCACAGTGGCTTTAATTTGTGGCGGATACAGAGTTGTGTGTAGGGACCCTGTCTCTGACAGGCCGCAGAGGAGGAGTTCTCTTCGTTGAAGGCTTCCGTGTGTTCATTCTTAGCACTACAATAATTGGGTTTACTTGAATTGGTGCCTGTGTAGTTTTAGAAATCACAGTTGGAGGAAAATGCAGAACTAGCCGCTTTAAATTTTCCATGTGGTTTGAGAGTCCCAGGACTCACCATCCATGTAAACATCTTTGATGAGAAGAAAGGGCATTCCTTTTGGGATCCCTGTGAATGGGTGTGGAACGGCTGTGGCAGCTGCTGGCTGAGTGGACCCGGACCTTATGAACTCTGCTTTCTCGTCCTGGAGCCTGTCTGCCTCCAATGTGACTGTCTCTTTTCCCAGCTTTATCACATTTCTGTCATTTTTGCCCCCAAACCATCAAAGAGGAAAAAATACTTCAGTTAATGGGGTATGGTAATTATGTTTTGAAGATTGAAAACAATCAGGATTATTTTGAGAGGATCTCTTTATGCATTTTGATAAAGAGTTAATAACCAGAATATTGTTGTGAGTCAGAATGTGGGTACTGTAGCTGCATGAATGAACTTGAGGGCCTTTCCTTTGAAGAGTTCAAGCTGGCTTTATTTATTGTCTCTGTTAATTGATGTGGAGTTGGCCTGTAACTGCAGGAGCTCTTTCTGAGGGTTGCAGCTGGAGAGGTGAGCGTGTCCTGGTGTCCTGCTGTTGCAACAGCTTTTCTAAAGAAAGAGGAAAGGAAAACTGCCACCACCAAGTGCTGGATCCAGTATGAACTGGACAGGGCAGCTTAGACATCGAGAGCAATCAGTGTAAAACAGGCACGTCTTTGATTGTGAATGTGCTCAGTCTGTTGACTTTTTATTTAAAATTAATAAAACACTCTGCTGTGTCACTTATCTCTGACTGCTCCGCCGCCTCCAGCTTAGGAGTGCCTGCCATGACTTAGGAAATCATGTTCGTGCCCTGCAATCCGGGCCTTAGTAACTTGCTGCTGCTCTTGTGGAACTAGTGCTGTGGATATCGTTCTGTATAAATAAAACACTGATTGGCCAGTGGCCAGGCAGGAAGTAGGCGGGACAAGGAGAGAGGAGAATTCTGGGAAGTGGAAGGCTGAGGGAGACACTGCCAGCCGCCATGATGAGAAACAGCATGTGAAGATGCCGGTAAGCCACGAGCCATGTGGCAAGGTATAGATTTATAGAAATGGGTTAATTTAAGCTGTAAGAACAGTTAGCAAGAAGCCTGCCACGGCCATACAGTTTGTAACCAATATAAGTCTCTGTGTTTACTTGGTTGGGTCTGAGCGGCTGTGGGACTGGCGGGTGACAGAGATTTGTCCTGGCTGTGGGCAAGGCAGAAAACTCTAGCTACAAATCTGTGTGGAGATCTCACACACACACACACACACGCACACACACACACACACACACACACACACACACACACACACACACACACACACCTGCATTTTCCCTGTGTGGAGCTGCACACAGAGAAAGGAAGTGGGGAGCTGGGTGAAGGTTAGTGAAGCTCTGAGAGGGAAAGGCTTTAGCCAATTGAAAGACCAGGCAGTCTGCTGCCAAGAACCTAAGAGCCAGCCTGGGAATCTAATTATGAAGGACCTTGGCTGTGTGAAGCCTTACTTAGTCAGGCAGAGATGTTTGACAAACTTAAAAATGAATGTACAGCATTGGTTTTGAAAAAACAAGATAGAATTTTGTAGGGTGAGCTGCTGTTGGCACTCTGGATGGAAATGGATTTTCCTCCCACACATATGATCACTTAGGACTTTCCATGGTCTTGTCCAGGGGCAAGATTAGGTGTGGACATGTGTCACATTTCCATGGTGAGAACGAAGTCATCAGGCCAAATGATGGTTCTGTAGAACCCAAGAAGATGGTCTGTAGTTGGGTAACTGTGTGCCCTGATGATTCTCTGTCGAACAGAGAAAGAATGGAGGGGATGTGTGTGTGTAATGGGAAAGGTATTACAAGTTACCTATAGATGGGATATAGTCCATATTCCCGGTTCTAGTTACTTTTCTGTTGCTGTGATAAAACACCATGATTAAAAGCAACTTAAAGTTACGTTGGCTTGTGGTTCCAGGGTGAGAGTCCATCATGGCAGGGAAGCACACTGAGCAGCAGGCAGGAGCAGGCAGCTGGTTGCCCTGTGTGGCCAAATGTTGCTGATCTTGTGCTGGGCTGAGGTCCTGCTGCAGACCCAGACCCCGAGTTCTGGTGTCGAGATCAAGGGAAAGTAGAAGCACCTCTGTCTTCCCCTTGCTCTTAAGGGACTAGAGCAATGTGTTTTCTTCGTTTTGAAAATTAAAACTGGTGCATTCTGTGAACACTGAAGAGTAGACATGGAGGAAGCAGGTGCCTTGCATGTCAGTGTGTTCCATGGCCTTTGGAACAGAGGTTTGAATGTTTCCTTTAAAAAAAAAAAAAAAAAAAGAATGATGCTCTCGGTCAAATAAAAATTGGAAAAAGTAAACTCTGTGGAACAGTATGCATCGTGCTGTTCTCATCTATGGGAGCAGTGTCTTGGTTAGAATTGGCAGTCATTTCCGGGCAGGCTAGTGGACACAAGCAGTTTGACTTTCTCTGCATATATAATCTCATGAAGGATAACTGAAAGTTGCTTATACTTCTGTTCTGCTCTGCTCTGAATGAAGAAAGCCAGAGAGGCTCAAATGCTAGGCAGCCAAGAGAAGGGCCTCTGGCTGGCCTCGGTCTTTATGGTATAGACAGAGTGGGCTTCCGGGATGAGCCAGAACGCTGCACCAGGCATGAGTTGGGCTGTGATGAAGGTGACTATACTAGACAGGGTTCTCTAGAATAACAGTTTACAGAATGAATCTCTCTCTATATATAGAAAGGAGATTTATTAGAATGGCTTAAGACTGTGGTCCAGCCAATCCAACAGTGGCTGCTTATGTATGGAAGGTTCAAGAATTCAGTAGTTATTCAGTCCGCAAGGCTGGGTGCCTCATCTGGTCTTCAGTATATGCTGGAATCCTGAAGAAGTAGGCTCCAGTGACAGTGAAGGAGTGGACTTGCCAGAGGGCGAGAGCAAGCAGGTAAAGAGAGAGGCTTCCTTCTTCCATATCCTTTATATAGACTGCCAACAGAAAGTGGGACCCAGATTAGAGGTGGGACCTGGATTAAAGGCGTGTCTTCTCATCTGGAGTAGAAGTGGATCAACATGATTTAATTTTTATCATTTAATTGAATGATTTAATTAATCAGAAATCCCTCACAGGTATGCCCAGCCATTTTTGGGTTTTAGTTTATTCCATATGTAGTGAAGTTGACAACCACAGTGGCCATCACAGTGACCAGAGGCCTCCGTTGCCACCATGCCAGGCCACATGTACTTTTGGGATGTCATAAGGTATCAGGAAGTCATGAAACATGCAATGACACCCAGCTTTTCTTTTCCTTGGGAGCAAGATACATTGGTTAGCTTTGTTTTTATTTTGTAATATTTTATTTTCTATGTGAATAATGCTTTGCTTGCATGTATTTATGTGTACCATGTATGTGCTTGCAGAAGTCAGAGGGCTTTGGATCCCCTGGGACTGGAGTTCTAGATGATTGTAAACCCTCATGTGGGTACTGGGAATTGAGCCCTGGGTCCTCTGCAAGAGTACTAAATGGTCTTAACTGCTGAGCCATCTTTCCAGCTTGTGTTTTATTTTTTGATACAGTCTGAGGACATCAGAGCCCAGACTGGCCTGGAACTTGGGGCAATCCTGCTGTTACGGGCTGCCTTTTAAAGTCTGGGATTTCAGGTCTGAGCCAGCACACCTGGCAACACAGTTTTCTTTTAAAAACAGGTCCGTGTCTTCCCTTTGACTGAGGTGTATGAGCTTGGGTCTTCACTGTCTGTTCAGAAAGTCTGGTTCTCCTGACTTAGTGGACTTGCTCTGTAAGGGCTGCTATTAGGTCTTTTGTGTCTGCTGACTGTCTCGGTGCCCCGAGCTCAGTGACACGGTCTCCACAGGTGAGGGTGGATGTCTGTGTGTTGTGAACGGAGTCCCATCCTGTCTGCTACTTCCTCCCTCCCTCCCTCCCCCCTCTCTCCCTCCCTCCCGTCCATTCGTCCGTCCATCCGCCCTTTTTCTTGTCTTTGTTTTCCAAGCCAAGGTTTGTCTGTTTCTTTTTAAACATGGATGTGTACGTGTAACATTGCTTCCTTACAACTTCTTACGAGAATTGATTCTAAAGAGGCAAGAGAAACAGCTCCTAGAGTTTTTCAGAAAAAAAGCAATTACTCCCCCCAATTAGGGCTAATAAATGAATGTTTCATGTATGTATTATATAGCACATTCTGAAAGTCTTAGGGATTGGATGCTTTTACTGTGTTTTCCCCAGCAGGAAGCAGATCCCTCTAGAAAGTTCTGGGGAGAAGTAGCTTGAGGAAGGAATGGGCCTGCCACACTTCTCACATCTTGTGCTTTTGGTGGCATGGACCAATCCTGAAGGTCAGCTTGCAGGTGTAGGCAACAGGGGCTTTTAAACTGTTGTGCTACTGATGCAGGCCTTGCCTCACTCATGAAAGTATCCGTCCATCCACCGCTCCTGACTCTTGACCTGTACTCTCCACTTAGCTGCATCCCAGGCCAGCAGACATTTTCTGTAGTCCTCTCCCTCATCCGTTAGTAGATTTTATTTTTTACTTTTTTGTTTTTTTTTTTTTTGAGACAAGGTTTCACTATGTAGACCTGACTGACCTTGAACTTGCAGAGATCTTCCTGTTTCTGCCTTCTAAGTGCTGGGATTAAAGGTGTGCATATATCATGACGCCTGGCCCTTTAATAGATTTCAATTGTTTAGGCAAAATACCTGCTTTATGTGACGGTGTCTTTCATCTTGATTATCCTATCTATTTAGCATGGATTTTGTTTTTTAAACCCTGTGTAAGAGCTTCTAAGTGGCTAATGACATTTTTTCTTATTAGTTAGAACCTGGTCCTTTAGATGAAATTCAGATCGCTACTATATTACGGGAAATTCTGAAAGGACTTGATTATCTACACTCAGAGAAGAAAATCCACAGAGATATTAAAGGTAAGAGCTACTCTTGTTTTATTTCTTTGAAACACCTGAAGTGGTACAGCCCTGCACATCTGTGCTCATCAGCGGCTGTCCTGCCCACTCTGTGTGTCTGTTACCAGCCCTCATTCCCTATGGGGAGAGCATGCATGGGCTCCCAGGGTGACCCTGGGTATAACAGAGCATAATGATGTCCTCCTGCTTGGTTGTCCTGCAGCGGCCAACGTTCTGCTCTCTGAACATGGAGAGGTGAAGCTGGCTGACTTTGGAGTAGCTGGCCAGCTGACGGATACCCAGATAAAAAGGAACACTTTCGTGGGTACTCCCTTCTGGATGGCGCCTGAGGTCATTAAACAGTCAGCCTATGACTCAAAGGTGAGAGCCTGTGCTGTGGACCCACCACATCCAGATGTTTGTCCCTTTGTTTTTGCATCACGTAGCATTCCTTCTGTACCGGAGGTGGGTGTAGGTCGTGGGGTGACTCTGGCCTTGTGACCTTGGTTGGTGTCGGACGCCTTCTCCGTCTCCTGCTATGCCGCCGGCTGATGTGTTCTTCCGGCCTTCGTGGCTGTTGGATGCGGTGGGGGCAGGAAGGAGCAGGTGTGAGGGTGGGCACTTCAGCCTTCAGAGACATGCAGACCCTGGGTAGATGACGTGGGGCAGGCAGGCAGTGCCTGTGCACAGGAACACGAAGGCAGGTGGCACCTTGGCACAGCAGATGAGGGGCAGGGCCTGGACAGACCAGCCTGTTCTAGATAAGGCGTCTAGAGAAAGAATCAGAGAACACAGAGCCCATAGCAGAGTGGGGCAAGTGTAGTTCTTCGGTGATTGCGACCATTTGTTGTATTTCCAGTCTCAGGATCCATATTCCCAGAGACTCGGCGACAGCAGAAGACGGGAGTCGCCCCCGTCAGGCTGGTTGTCTGTCGGCTTCTGTCCTCCTGGTTCTTGGTCTTGTCCTTTAGTTTTCTAAAACCTTGTAGTAACCCACTCTGTTTGCTCAGGTCAATGGCCTGTGCACAGTAAACATGGTAACTCAGAGACATTTATAGATTGAACATTATTTTTTGTTTTTCTTTTCATTTATTTATTTGAATTATGTCTGTGTGGCCGGGCAGTAGTGGTGCATGCCTTTGATCCCAGCACTCAGGAGGCAGAGCCAGGCGGATCTCTGTGAGTTCGAGGCCAGCCTGGTCTAGAGAGCGAGATCCAGGACAGGCACCAAAACTACACAGAGAAACCCTGTCTCAAAAAAAACCAAACAAACAAATAAATAAATAAATATTTCTGTGTGAATGTGCTAGTATGGAAGACCAGAAGCATAGATCCCCAAGATGGAGTCGGCATCTGTAAGCTGTCTGACATGGATGCTGGGAACCTAACCAGGATTCTTGCAAGAACAGTATGTGCTCTCTTAAATGCTTAGCTATCTTTCCAGCCCCTCAAAAAAAAAAAAAAAAAAAAAAAAAAAAAAAAAAAAAAAAAAAGGACTCAGTCGCCATCCCCTTTGAAGATGTGCTCTGTAGCTGGAGTCTGACAAACCGGTGATCCTCCTAGTTAGCCTTCCGAGTGTTGTGATTGCAAGTCTGTGTTAGCATGCCAGGCTCATGCCTTTGTTTTTCTTTCTTCCTCTCTCTCTTTTTTTTTTTTTTAAATAGGACCCTCTTCCATGTGTAGCAGCAGACTCCCTGCCTCATTAAATGGTGTGTGAAGCATAGGATAACTTGCCTTTGGGACCTTGGGTCACTCTTGTAAGGTATATGCCCTTACGGCATGCCATGGTGGGTGAAGGGACAGACATCCGTTGCTCTGGCTTGAGAGAACTGGGCTGGTGTGGTGAACTCAGACGTGCGGTGGTGTGGGAGCTCGGGAAGGAACTCAGGCCCCGGGGCTTCAGGTTAGTCAGCTAGCTCTCTGCATTTGTTGTTCGTTGGTTCCTGGTCTTCTGGGAAAAGATCACCTCTGCGGCTGCTTCTCTTCTGAAGCCCATCTTCTCTCGGCCTTTCCCCCGAGTTCTGTCTTGTAGGAGTAGGTGTATGTCCACTGTTGACCATCAGTGTTCATGTCTGAGTTTTGGTAGAAGAGAGACTAGAATCTAGGCTCTTACACTACCCTGTCATTCTCTTTCGGGTGGTGTAGTAAATGAGCTTCTCAACCATGGCCCTTATGACTTGGGGCCCAGGCCACCCATTTCTGTTCTACCCATGGCCACTTCCTTCCTTGTTTCCCAGAGAGCTCTCCTGATCTTCCTGTCATGGCTCTGTGGCACAGTTCACTTTGGTTGTTTGGACTGTGGTTCTCACCCCCTTCCCTGATTTTCATTCAAACCCCCAGGTGCCACATGTCCTCAGTGTAGTAACAGACAAACAGTTGTTTGCTGGGGTTTGCTGTTAGTTATTTTGGAGACTTCATTCAGTTGATGGGCCATGGTAGTTAATTATTTGTTCTGAGGTAGAGGAAGTAATGCTGCTGGTGGAGTGCTTGGGGAGGCATCGTTTGTCTTCCTACTCACATTTGTTAGGGTAGATTGGTTTAAACATGGATCTTCATTGTGGTCTTTGATTATATGCCAAATGGCTTGGTATGCATGGACATGCCAGCTCAGTGTCACTGGGCATCAGATGCAGGCAAGGGACTGACTGCATAGGTCCTGCACAGGTCCTGGTGGAAGGCAGCTCAGCCAGGCCAGTGCTAGAAGGGGCACAGGGACGCTGGGCGTTAAAGAGCGTTATAACCTCACGTCTGTCACCCGGCTGGGTGTAGGTGTTTCATAGTTTAGGTTTTTTGACAGGGTTTCGTTATGTAGCCCAGTTTGGTCCTGAGCTTTCAGTTCCTCTGGATCAACCTCCTTAGTGCCAGGATCACACCGTGGTGTTCTTGGTTGGGCTTAGGGAATTCCAAAGAGGAATCTCAAGTTGCTTGGAGACCAGGGCTCCTCGCTGGTCACTCCACGTGGGCCTGAGGAAGCAGGGACAGCTCCTTTCGGCCTTGCTGCTTCTGCTTTTTCAGCCCCCACTTCCAAAAGCAAGTTCTCAGGCCTCTGGGTGCAGCCAGTGCACAGCTAGCCTGAAGCAGAGACCACCACCACCACGCCTTCTCATAACGGGGCAAACTGAGCTGGTTGTATGGTGCCTAGGATCTGGATAGAGATCATTGCCGAAGCCCTGTGGATGCACGGTGGTGGCGTGCTGTGCCTGAGAGTGTGGGCATAGGTGACAGCATTCACACAGACTAGAGGGCCCGCTCGAGTCAGGCCTGCCCTACTGCCCTGCATCTCATTTCCCTTTGCATGACTTTCTCACTTCTCCTTGCCGACTTCATGACTCTGACTGGGGCACTGTGGTAAGGGTTTCTGGGACTCACAAGGTTGCAGAATGGCCAGTGAAGTCCACTCCAAGTGGTTAAGGTCAGAAATTGTCCCGGTCCTGTGGTCATCTGAATAGGCCTTCTCTTGCCACCTGTGAGGGAGATGGTAGGCTGCCCCTCAGGGTCTGGACTGGTGATGAGTGGTGCAGTGACAGGAGAGAGGTGCCTCTCTCCACCACGGTTCCCGTCGTGCTCTCCGCCAGCCTGTCCTGCCTTCTGTTCGGTTTGAGTTGGTGACAGTCCTGCCCACTGTAGTTCCCGAAGACTGCTGTGCTCCTTTCGTTGCCGTGGCCATTTAAGGAATCCACTGTGCAGGGAGGTGATTGGCACATGGGCTTGGGTAGCTGGAAGCAAGGCTGAGTCTATCTGTGTCTCAAGTCAGAATCCACAGGGCCTTAGGCAGGGAATAGAGAAACACATCAAATGTCACCAGGGTGGGGTACTATGGCTGTGATAACACTGTGACCACTGCTTGGGGAGGAAAGGGTTTATTTCACCATAAAATTGACAGTCCTTCATGAAGTCAGGGCAGGAACCTGGAGATAGGAACTGGTGCAGAGACCATGGAGGGATACTGTTTATTGGTTTGCTCCTTGTGGCTTGCTTAGTTTCTTTCTCATATACCCCAGGGCCACCTGTCCAGGGGTAATGGCACCACTCGCAATGGTATGGGCCCTTCCACATCAGTCAATAATCAGGAAAAGAAAGCCTCATAGGTTTGCCTATTGGCCAGTCTCAATTGAGGTCCTTCCTAGTGAGTTGTGGATGCGTTGGTCAGCCCACCACCTCCACCGATCCCTTTTTTTCCTCTTGTCCAGTGGCAGTGCTGCTGGAACATGTGGCTGTTGTTGCCCCACACTGCCAGGGAAAGCTCCGTTTCTACTGCTCACGTGGTGGGGTTGCACACTACGGTTGAGAACTACCGGTGTTGCTAAGCTTATGTCGGTGTGTAAGCAAGCCTTGTTTGGGTGGCATAGTGAAGTACCGGGATGGGGCAGTGGGTGGCAGATGCCAAGGTTGCTTTTCTGCATCTGTCTCTCTCCCTAATGTGAGACCATGCCGTGCAACACTAGTGTTTCACCGTGTCTGTCGCTTTAGGGGGCCTTGAACTGGTACAGTCCTCCTGCCTCAGTCTTCTATGTTAAGTGTTCTATGACAACAAATGAAGTCTGTCTGGAAGTGCTAGTGATGGCTATGGTTGTATGATGGTGTGTGGAGGGCATTCTGTTAATGTTTCCATGTCTGTGTTTGGCTATCTTTATAATAACATTCTCTAGGGCTGGTAGAGGGTTTGCCCAGCTGCACGAGGCGCTAGGTTCAGTTCCCAGCACTGCAAAAGCAGTCAAACAAAACAAAACTGCTTTGAGTTCTGGGCACAGAGGTCGGCCCTTTATATACCGTTTTGTAACCACCTCCCTCTTGAAAATTGAGGGGGCGGGGTCAGGGGAAGCAGTTGTCTAATGTCCTAAGACCTCGATTGTAGAGCTGGTGTTGAAACTAAGGTAGCCACTGGAGCTGAAGAGCTGTGCACCAGGAGCTGCTCAGTGAAAGGGTGACTCTCAAGCAGCTCCTCCTGCTCATCTGCTCCTGTGTCACTGCTACAAGGACTCGACTGAGCACACCTGACAGAGTCGTGCTGCCTCCCACAGAGGTGGCCAGCCAGGGTCACTGTGTAGGATGTGGGTATTTGCTGTCTGTGTTAAAATCATGGCAAGGGCTCGTGTTTCTTATCAGTTAAAATTGTCTTTCACAACCTGAGATTGAAGCGCGTGTGCGCGCGCACACACCCACCCCCTCTACTTGTCTCCACCCCCCCCCCCCCCCCCCCCCCCCCCCCCCCCCCCCCCCCCCCCCCCTCTGCTTGTCTGAATGTACTCTTGCTCCATGCCTTAAAGATGCTTTGGTCCCTACAGGCAGACATCTGGTCCCTCGGCATCACAGCAATAGAACTGGCCAAAGGAGAGCCGCCACACTCTGAGCTGCACCCCATGAAGGTGTTATTCCTCATCCCCAAGAACAACCCTCCTACGCTAGAAGGAAACTACAGCAAACCCCTCAAGGAGTTTGTGGAGGCCTGTTTGAACAAAGAGCCGAGCTTTGTGAGTGCCCCCTTCTGTGGTCTCAACTTGGACTGAATTTGTTGTGTTGGAATTGTTTCAGCCACTGTTGGCAGCTGTCTCCATGGTTACATGTTTGCAAATGAGTTTGATTTCTTTAAATTACAGGGACTTGTTGTTGTTGTCGTCATTTTACCTTTTAGGGATGTAAGATGTAGTTATTTTAACATTTTCCAGCATCTCATACCTCATTGAACCTGAAGAATATCCTCCTTAGTATTGGGGTGAGGTCATCAGTTTTTAATGTTTATAGAGAAAGATCAGTCTGTAAACTAGAAAGCTACTTCAGTAATAGCAGAGGCTGGCCTGAAAATAATGGAAGCAAATGCTGTTTCCAGTTGTCGTGTGCCAGGAGACACACAAATGGATCCACGCCACCCACCATCTCTGCTTCGTCTCCCTTTCCCTCTGAGTTTACTCAGTGGTGGCAAAGCCCGGGCATTGGCTTCTGTGAGCTTTGCCTCGTTTTTCTCTGAGAATTGGGGCTTTTCTCTAAAAGGAGCCTGTGCGTTTTGTGTCACATGTAGCAGCCTGTGTCCTTGCTTTGTTTTGGGGTTCTTTGAGCAGAGTTAGCTGACATCAATGCTTCATTGAACCTGAAGAATATTCATGAGGGGTCCCCTTGAACTCTTGCCTAAAGATGGTGAGAAAAGATGAGTTTTACAAGAGCATCATGTAGTTCTTCCAGTAGGGTACCCGTTCTGGCAAAGGAATTGATCAGGATCTAAAGCACTACGAGGAGCTCCAGGCTGAGGTCAGCAGATCAGTATTTGGGTACTGGGGTGGTGGGTGCGGTCTTGATGCTAGTCCAGGTTGTTTAATTGCTTATATCATGGGCTCATTCATGGCACAGTATATAGTACAGTAGCACCTGGGAAGAGAGACCTGAGTGTGTCTATATCCTCTTCTAAAGCACGTCTAGTACTCATTTATTCCTAAGATACACCCCTCCACCTTGGCTTGCCCCTGGACCTTCAGACAAGAAGGCTGCAAAGCTGAGAATATGCGCACTTGGGGGTGCTTGGAGTGTCATAGTCAGCAGATGAAGAGGGGAGGATTGCTGAGGCCACCTGGGTTCTCAGAGATCATGGTTGGCAGAACATGCTGTTTTTGATAAGAAAAAAGAAAGAAAAACAAAAACAAAAACGTTGATTCTTTGGAGTAGGTGGGACTGTGGTGTGCCTGGCTGGCATCTCTGTTTTTGCTATCTGTCCCTGGTTGGGTCACTCTGCATGTTGAGGGAGCTTTGTGCTGGTAGATGGGGAAACCGCTGACTAAACTCTGGGTGTGCCCTTCCGTTGAAGTTATACCATGTCCAGGCAGTGATCAAGCTGTTGGACCCAGTCACTGGGGTGGGGATAGGTTCACACACCTGCTTTTCTAATTGGAAATGCTGGTGACTGAGGGAACCCAGTTGGGTCTTTCCTGACTCCTGCCCCAACCTGTTCTACATGAGTCGAATCATTGAATTCACTTTAATTTGTGGTATTAGCCTAACACTATAGGAAGTCATGAAGAACACACATTTCCCTTGGTGAGCACTTGTGAGGTGGCACATAATCCAGGAGATGAGCCTCTCAGAACCACATAAACCAGGAGATGCTCTCCCTCAGAACCATGTAAACCAGGAGATGAGCCTCTCAGAACCACATAAACAAGGAGATGCGCTCTCTCTCTCTCTCTCTCTCTCTCTCTCTCTCTCTCAGAACCATGTAAACCAGGAGATGGGCTCTCTCTCTCAGAACCATGTAAACCAGGAGATGGGCTCTCTCAGGCAGTACTTACAAAGTTGTTTGTGGAGTTACTGGGTAGGAAGGCTCTTCAAACTTCGATTGAATGGTTCTGGTGCAATGTTGTCATCCTTGTTGGAACTCTGTCACATTCACCTTGTGGCTGTAGTCTCAGGCCCGAGTGTGGAGCCTACTCTTCTGGAGTGAGCCTGCGGGAGAAGCAGACTCCGAAGTAGAGCCCAGTGCCGAGTGGTGCAGTGATCGGCATTTCAGTCCAGAAGTCTGCTGTTGAGGTGGAGCAGAGCAGAATGAAGGAGAAACTTCCTCTTGTGGTTATCTGGGCGCGTGTGTTTTCCAGAGACCCACCGCTAAGGAGTTGTTGAAGCACAAGTTCATCATCCGCAATGCAAAGAAAACCTCCTACTTGACTGAACTCATCGACAGGTACAAGAGGTGGAAGGCTGAGCAGAGCCACGACGACTCCAGCTCGGAGGACTCAGACGTGTAAGTCGGGACAGACAGTTGGGCCCTGCCGCTTTTGTGGGAGTGGGCGTGCTCATGTGCGTGCTTGCATTGCTGGGAAACAATGATAGTTTAATCCCTCATGTACTCGAGGCCGACACTGCATTGAGCTGTATCCTGCCCCTCTTCACTGATGCTGAGTTTTGTCTTGTACACATGGGCTTGTTTGGGGTTCTTTGGGGAGTGGCATTTGTATAATAGACACATGCACAGGATTGTGGCATGGCGTCCTTCTCTTCATTAGCCCCCTGCTCTTAAGGAATGGACAGAAGAAGTCCTTGTATGCAGTTCTGAGGAGACAAGAAAGAATGCTTTTGAGACTCCTCAGTGTGTCAAGCTCTATGTGGGGCAGTCACTCACTGAATGCGGGTTTCCCGCTCAGCACCCACATTCTGATGCCTGGTGTGTGAAGTAGCTGGAGCCCTCCAAACAGGAGGTAGAGGGAGGGTGGCCTGGCTGTCTTGCAAGAGAGAAAGGAGGCACCTGGAGGCCCGATCGATCGCTGTCCTGCACTCCATAGCCAGAAGCTAGCACCGTGTCTCCTGCCAGGACAGTGGACTGCAAGCCTCTGGGACAGACCCAGGTCTGAAGGTCCAGGTTACTGTTTATAGCCAAGGTCGAGACCACTGACCAGGTTTCCCAGAGGCTGTGTGAGAATGGGGGTGGGGCTTGGGAGCCAGGCTGTGCAGGAGGTCTGGGTGGAGGTGGCGAGGCACCGACCTGTCATCCCAGCTAATCCCAGCAAGTGAATGAAGCCGTCTCAATATAAAATGTACACAAAAGTGCTGGGATTGTTGCTCAGTACCTGGCTAGCATGTTAGAGGCCCTGGGTTTAATTCCCAGTGAAGGATTTGGGTAAAGGAGGCAGGGAAGTTGTCCCAGGTTTCAGCAGCATGTCACAGTGGCAAAGTGTCAGAAACAGTTTGATGTAGGCCATGTTGGAATTTGAGCTGCTTGTGGAATGTGTGAAGACGTGTATATATAGCTTAAAGTGTTGTGGCATGGAGCGCAGGATGGAGAGCAGGCAGAAGACACTATACCCTGCTGTAGAAAAGACCTTGGAATTGGAGCCTGAGAACAAAGGGTCAGAGCCTAGGGTCAGCCTCTAGGAAGCCAGCATCAGAGTAAAGCTGGAGTGTGGAAGCAAGGCGGAGCAGTGTGGCTTGTTGTTGGGAAGGACGGAGGCATCCGGGCAGGCACTGGCATTGGGTCATTGCTGCTGAGGAGGAGCACGAGGCCCGAGAACAGGCGGGGAGAGGGACCTGCTTACCTGGCAGTGTGTAGAGCACTCGGACCGCAAGCAAGGGGCTGTGAGGCCGAGGAAGGGGACGGGGGTAGTGAGCAGTGCTCCTTCAAGACTTGAAGCTCTGTATGGTGTGATGGGGTGTGGCCTGAAGGGAGCAAAGGAGAGGACGTTTTTAGCCATGGCAGGAAAGAGGGACCTGGAAAGAAACTGAGGTTCAAGAGAGACTGACAGAGAAGTGGCAGATGGGTCCTTTGTGTGGAGGAGGAGGCAGCCTCAGCAGCAGCAGACAGTGGATGCTAGGAGCACAAGGACAGTCCCAGGAACCACGCTCTTCCAGTCTTCTGTGATGTGCTGCGAGGCTGCAGACTTGGGGGGCTGGGACTTAATGGGGCTGGGAGGTGGGCTGGGCAGTGTGGTTCACAGCATGCTGGTGAATTTGGGGGTTTCTGTGAAGGGAAACAGATGGCCAGGCGTCCGGAGGCGGTGACTCTGGGGACTGGATCTTCACAATCCGGGAGAAAGATCCCAAGAATCTGGAGAACGGGACTCTCCAGCCGTCAGATTTGGAGAGAAATAAGGTACGTGGCTCACACGTGCCCCGTGCCCATGCTCACCAGCCAGTGGCTCGACACGCCGGCTGTGGGAGTGGATGAGGGGCTCCTCAGAGCAGCTCCTTGGTGGCATTTGCCCTCAAGGAATTGGCATGTTTGGAGATGTGGTACTGAGAGTGTGGGTGCTGAGCGGCACCCCTTCACCTCCTGACCCTCAGCACGTGGTGGAGTTGGATGTGGAAATGAAATTCACACCTGAATGCTCTGATGAGCGTGCCTGTTGGACCTGTTCATAACATACCTGGGTTTTATGGTGGAGTTTTAATTTCAGGCCCTTAAAAACCAGTATTTTTCGTTTGGTATTTGAGGTGGTTTTTATGGCCACTTAAATTTACAAACTGCTAGGTTTTAAAAGGTTTTGTGAAACACGGTGTTACAGTTTATCAGGCTGTGGCTCCCTAAGCCGCCTCTGCTGAGGGAGGTAAGTACAGAGGGGTGGTAAAAAATGGGACCTCTCAGACAATGGCTGCTTGGAGTACCTGGCTTTATAGCCTCCAAAGTTTCCTCAGTGAAAACCCGCAGAGCAGGGCAGCAGGTTCCTTCACACCTACAGGTTCACACGTGGGATCTTGCAGTGATGTCCCTTGGGTTCCCAGCGGCATGAGTGGGTCCCTTCGTCGACATCTCACTTCGTGAACAGAAATGTTTCCAGAGGGAAGCTGGAGAATCCAGTCATGCCTTGGTAGAATCCTTGCCCACCTCAGTGTTGCCTGTTTGTAATGACTCCCTTTTCTTTTCTTCCCCAAGATGAAAGACATCCCAAAGAGGCCTTTCTCTCAGTGTTTGTCCACAATTATTTCTCCTCTGTTTGCGGAGGTAAGACCCCTGGCTGCCCTTTTTTTCGGGGGAGGGGCGGGGATAGAAGGGAGGAAGAGGGGACCAGGGCTGTCCTTTTGTGGGCGGCTGCCAGTACAAGAAGAGGCATTAAATCAGCTAGCAGAGGTAGGCTCAGCGTCTATATTGTGCTCATGACAACTACTAGCCTGGGTCCTGCCTTCTATAAGCCAAGCAGGTGAGTAGGGAAAGCTGTGTGGATTTCCTTATTTGTCAGGGGCTGTGTAGGTTTTACTGGGCTTAAACTTTTGAAATCATTCCTCAGTAACAACCTCAAATCCACCGGAAATGAGGTAATGTTTTGGAAGTTCTAGAGAAGAAAAGGAAATCTCTCCAGTGCCCCCTCCCTCTGAGTATGCGCTGTCATTAGAGATAATAGGCCGTAACTAGAGGTGAGTATTCAGCGCTCATAACAGTCACCAAAGCTCAGTAAAGATGATTATGTGTTCAACTTCAACACATGAGCGTAATCAAACAAGTGTGTGACATTCTCATTGCTGCTACTCTGCCTGTGCTGGGACAACCCCGCACATTAGTGATACGGAGCCCTTTGAATCTAGCCCAGTTCCGGGGGCGGGGGGGGGGGGGGGGGGGGAGGGCTGCAGTTCTCTGTCTTCTGCTTTGAGACACACAGGTGCGGGTCAGGTCAGAGGCAGGTGGGTGGCAGGTTGCAGATTAGTCTAAACGCTGTGCGTGGAAGTGGCAGAGTGTTAGCAAACAATGTCATAATGCTCTGCTTCTGTGGGCCTCTCCAGTGTCAGCTGTGACCGGTCCCTCCATGGCCCATTAGAAACAGGACAAGGAGCCTGGTGCTCTTAGAGTGACAGGCTCGGTTGGGTTGTTCTCAATGCCTGCCGAGTCAAAGCTGAGTGTTTTCTGACATATTATTCGCAAAGAAATGGACGAGGGAACTCTGGAGGACCTGCTGCTGTCTTGAGTCTGCAGCTGCCCCTGGAATCTGTTCTGGGAGGTCTTTGATCCTGAGCTGAGCTCAGCCTTGATGGGAGCGGCTCTTGTGTTCATCGTCCACGCTATGAGTACATCCAGGACAGGACTTGGAGTGGTCTTCATGCCTGGAGTTGTGCCTAAGCACTCAGTTATGACTCACGGGAGCAGAGGAGGGTGTTGCCCGAGTCCCAGAAATCAGGGTTGCCACGTTTATGTGAGAACATGTGACAGCACTCTTGACCCCAAAAGCTGTGTGCCTGAGTTGTACTATTCCTGACATAGTAACCGTCAGGAATGGGGCTTTGATGAGTTTCATGGTAGCTGCCAGCCGAAACCAGTTGCATGTGGCAGGCATTGATAGCACTTTCTGGTGTGAGGAGAGGAAACTCGAGTGCACCATCAGACTCATGTAAGTGTGTGAAGGTGTGCACCATCAGACTCGTGTGTGTGTGTGTAGGTGTGTGAAGGTGTGCACCATCAGACTCGTGTGTGGAGGTGTGCAGAATTACTTGCTTGTGTTCTGGCCTGGAGGAGTCCGGTGGGGACCGTCTTTTGCCTTATACGTACATAATGTTCACAGAGTGGGACCTAGAGTGACTCAGCAGCCACAGAGCTCATGCCTGATCCTCATCAGCCTGGCATGGCAGTGGTGGTGACGGCATCAGGCCTGTTCTTCTTTCCCGGCGTGGTCGCTGCCCAGGTCTGTGCACATGTCTCACTGCTCTTGTGTGCGTTTTCAGCTGAAGGAGAAGAGCCAGGCATGTGGAGGAAACTTGGGGTCAATAGAAGAGCTTCGGGGAGCCATCTACTTGGCGGAAGAGGCCTGCCCTGGGATCTCTGACACCATGGTGGCTCAGCTCGTGCAGCGGCTGCAGAGGTAACTGCCTCTGGGCTGGAGCTGGGTTGTAGAAGGAGCCTGGTGATGCTGGTGTGGCTTCTTGGACTAGGAAGCTGCCACGGGCTGCAGCTTGGTCTATTTCTTGGGTGCTCATTCTTGTCTGTTGCTGTTGTCCCCCAGACCATGGGCTTACACCAAAGCCTCTGGGGGAAGACTGCTACTGAACTGTATAGATGAAAGAAGTGAGTCTGGGAAGGACCACAGAACCTGCATTTATAGCTCCTGCCAGAGAAATGCAAGATGCCTTAAAACACCTCTGCATCTAGTGGTCTACTGAGCAGAGGTAGAGCCCACTCGCACTGCTCACTGGGACTTGGGTCTGACCCATGTACAGATACCAGAGGCTTTAGTGTAGTGAACTCTGAGCCATGTTAGCCTTCCCTGTGGGTCTGTGCTCTGGCCTCAGGGAGCTCCCATCCCTCCCTGGTGGCTTTGGACACGTAGCCTCCATGTTGAACACATCTTACTGTTAGGGCTAAAGAATAAAGGTGGTTTGCTTGGTGGCCCCAGTCTTCAGGCCATTGGAGGAGAGAGTGGTCCTTTTAAGATTGCCCCAATTTGATTCTACAGGCAGCAGCCCTTCACAGAAATAAAGGAAAGTACAGCTTCAAACCAGCCTTGTGCGTATCCCAGCAGGTCTCTGTGAACTCTATATCTTGGGATCACTCCACAGTTCCTCCTTGTGGCATTTGTTTTTTATTTAAAGAGGTTTGTTGTAAACCACACAGAACCACCCCCAGAAACTGGTTATTTGTTAACTATCCTGCGATTTTGTTTTCTGCTTTTGGAGTATTTAAAGTGTAGACTTGTGGGCAGAGGTCCGAGAACACCTCTCAGGATCTGGTTCTTTGATGCCACTTTTTGGACCTAGGGATCTAGTTCAGGTCATCAGGCATGTCTGCAAACACCTTTTATCTGCTGAGGCCCTCCGTCCCACCAAAGCCCGCCTCTGTTGGCAGTCCGGCCTCAGCTCCTGGTCCTCTTGCCTCAGCCCCTAGCTGGATGGCGGGCACACATCACCAAGTTTTTGTCACCTTTAAGAATTTTGCATTGAGTCCAGAGTTGCCTCATGTTCCATGGGTAGTTGATATGCGTGACTTGATTTCTCCAGTAGCTCAGGCATGGGTGTTGTGAATATGAATATACACTGTATATACACCTAGTTGATCCTTGTCCCTTTTCTGGACCTCTTGGTCTTCCTGCTGAGGCACCTGATCTGCCAGCTCTAATAGAAATGTGAGGGGAGCCACGTGAAGAATTTCATTTACTTTAATTATTTTTGGGGAGACATACATGTGCCACGGTGCGTATGTAGTCGGTTAGCTCCTTCCACCTGTGTGGGTCCCGGGGGTCAGGTTGCCTGGCTTACACAGAAGAACCTTCACCTGCTGGCCCCGAATCCTGCTGGCTTTGGATGTTAACATTGAAAGCACTCCTCCCCTACCAGTGTGTGCTCGCGTGCGTGTGCTTGTGAATTTTTGTGGTGCCGGGACTTTTTATTCCTCGGTCTGGAACCTGTAGGCAAGTATTCTGCTATTGAGCTGTATTCCCAGCCTGCTCACACATGGAATTTTTCATTTCCTAGAAGCTATACCAAAACAGTAAAGAGGAACAAACAGTTAATTTTAATATATTTGATAATTTCCTCTGTTAACTTACAATCATTATAAACAATAAACAAGTGAGACATTTTGCATTGTTTTCTTTGGTATTAAACCTTGGAAATCTGGTATGAATTATATATGGCTACCTCTTTCTCAGTTCAAACTCAGATTTCACGAAGTCGTTAGATGAGTGGTGGAGTCTTGATCTCGTCTCCGTAGACATGGCTCTGGCTTTCTGTTTTCCTCCTTGAGGTTGCTGAAGGCCCATGAGCCCTAGGGTGGTGCTCACCCATGATCGACATTTAGGCTGCTTCCTCGTTTGTTCCCACATGAGTCTCTTCAAAGTGACTTTTGGATCCTTTAGTGAGAGCAGCGCATCCACTCACAGAAGGAGCAGCTCAGCCTACATCAAGTCCTTTGTAGTTCTTGACATTTGAGTCTTAGATGCTGTGGCTCCAGTACGCTGCTCTGAGGCTCCTGTGGGACAATTTGAGTATGTGCATTGATTTATAAAGGCACCCTGGGAGGAGTGTTTGAGATGAGTTTCCTTGAGTATGTCTTTGGCCATCTCCTGTGATTGGATGTCCGTTTGCAGTGACTGGAATAATCTTGGCCATGACTTACACCATTTAGCATTCAGAAGCAAGACAGTGCAGACTTTTTTTGTGTGTGTGTGTGGGGGGGGGGGGCAAATACATGGGTCTTAGAGTTAGTGACCGAGTTGTTACCATCCCTTCTGTCTTTTAATATATTGCCTCCTGATGTTATGCAAAGGTTGTTCATGCAGACACACAGACCCTGCTCTTGGCCATGTTTTGGACAACGCCAGGAAGTGGCTCACCTGACCTACACCTGTATATTGCTGCCCCAAAGAATTGCTGAGCTTAGACTCAAACTAACCATGGGTGTGTGTCCCTGAGTCACCACCAGCTTTCAAAAATAGACCCTGGCCTGGAGAAGGCTCAGTGGCTAAGGTCCTTTCTGTACACACAGAAGACCTGAGTATCGGTCCCCAACACCACACAGAGGCTTCATGTGATGGTACACGGCTGTAATCCCAGCGTAGGATGGGGTGTTGGCCTCAGAGACACGGGTAGATTCTGGAGGCTTATTGGCCAGTCAGCCTAGCCAGAATGGTAGAGCTCCAGCCCAGTAGGAGATGCTGCCTGGAAAAGTAAGGTGGGGAATGAGAGAGGAAGCTCCCGGGAGTTGGCCTCTGGCCCCACAAAGGTTCGCATGGTTGTGAGTGCACGTGCACATACACGCACACGTGTGCGCACACCCGCACCACATAGCACAAAACAAGTCGATCCTGGGTGTCATTTGCTGTCTTAATGACACCCCTCCAGGGAGGCCGAACATAGGCTTGCTTCTTATGTACCGTGAGTTTTGTGTTAGAACCAGAATTTCGTACTCATCATGCACTCTTGTAGAATAGCTCTGCTGACTCTCACCCCTCTGGTGGGTTTTTTAAAGATGTTGAAGTTTCTGTAAAGAATGTGAAGTTTTGGGTCTTTGAAGTTTTGCTCTGGTGTCGGAAATAATGTGTACTGATTTCTCTTTGCTTTTCCCTTAGATACTCTCTGAGTGGTGGAGGAACTTCAGCTCACTGAGATGCCTTTGGCATTGGGTTTGGTTTTTCCTTTCTTCATCTCCCTTCTTTAAAAGTCAATGAGAGCCTTTGCTGACTCTGCAAAGAGGTGTCATGGAGGGGCCCCTCTCCTGCAGCCGCCGGCACCTGTCCAGCGATCCAGTCCTCACTGTGCCACAGCCAGATGGAGTCTTTCAGATGGGGTGGGGAGGGTCTACTCCTTCAAGCAATTATTTTATTTTTTTATTGTTTTTAATTTTAATCATAGTGCACATATTCAAAGAACGTATCTTTAACAAAACCCCTGAACTGTATATTTGGATTGTGACAAGGCAGTTGAAGACACGCAACCTCAGGTACCCTGCTTTACGTCGATAGCTCCTCCCCCTGGGAGACGGAGAGTCGCTCTGGTGGATCAGTGTACAGATTTGTATATAGCGTCATTTTTACGGAAACTTTTGGCGTGCATAAGGAATCACTGTGTACACATTGGCCAAGTGCTTCTGTAGATACTGTCTGTGGAGTAAATATTTGACAGGCCAGAACTTGAGTCTATTGCCTTGCCTTTATTACATGTAAATTTTGAATTCTGTGACCAGTGATTTGGATTTTATTTTGTATTTACAGGGTCTGTCATTAATAATAATTAACCCCCTCCCCAATGGAACACTCCTGTTTGTACCTCAACAGATGCAAATTTCCCCTCATTTTCCCTACACCCCTTTGGTACACTTGGGTGTTTTTCTTTCTCATCGATGGTACTGTTCTTAGTGTTTTCAATTGGAACATATCTCGTCTCACAGAGCTTTAAATTATTCTAAGTCTCTCCCAGATGAAGCGCTCTCATCTAATCTTGTTGAGTTGTGCTACTGCTGTGTCTACACCAGATGTCCCGTCCTCTCGACACTTTTCTGTTCAGCCTTGTCGTAGAATCTGCATATCATCTTTCCCACCTGAAAGTGTCTGAATGCTTACACAAATAAATTTTATAACTCACTCATTTTGCATACTGTTCTTGAAACATGGCTCTACAGAGCGGATGGAGCCCCTGGTCTGCACATGTGTGGTTTTGTAAGTGTGTGTATGTTGAGACTCGAGGGAAAAGTGCTCAGATGTCAAAAAGCCAAATGTCCGGGTTAGCACCCTATGCAGTTGTGTGGTTGGTCACTGAGATGTGGCCAGTGCTGCAGGTTTGTGGAACTGCTGAAGCTCTTGCTGAGGACTTGACTGGGTGGTTTCAGTTCTCTCCCAGGAGCCGGGGTCTGCTGCTGCTGTCAGCCAGGCCGTTTCTTCATGTACTGTAGAGCGGCACTTGACAGGGTGGGAAGGCTCAGGTTCTCAGGGCAGTTCTTGCCAGTCTTACTCAGATCTCTGTAGTGTTTTCATTTGTTGATGCTAATTATTGTCCTCTTGTTGGAGTGCTAGGTCTCGAAGATAGTTTTGGGAGCAGGAACTTAGGGACGTTTGCTTGGCCTCGTGTTGGTGTGTGGTGTCCTCGTTACAGGAAGGGCAGGCCAAGGCTAGAGGTGTTGGCTGTGAGGTGATTATTTAGATTAAATGGGGTCTAGGTTTTTAGACTATTAAATTGTGATAGTCTACTAGAAGTAGATTTGGGTTGGATTAATTATTTCAACCAAGGATACATTTTGGCTAGGGGAAATAGAACCACAATTGTTCCTGTGTTGTTTTATTACTATTTTTTTTTTTTTTTTGAGTCTCTGGGTGTTTTGCCTGCATGTGCATCACATGTGTGCAGTGCCCTTGGAGGCCAGAAAGAGTGTTGGATCCCTTGGACTGGAGTGATAGGTAGTTGTGGATGCTGGGAACTGAATCCAGGTGCTCTGCAAGAGCAGCCAGTGTTCTTAACTGCCGAGCCATCACTTTGGCCCCAGTACTGTTATTCTATAGCAAGAATGGTACTTTGAACAGTGAAGTTGGAGAATATGTTGTGTTTCCTAGAGTATTCTGTACTGGAGTGCTGTGTGTTTTCCGGTAGGAGGCCTGATGCATAAACCAAAGGCTGTTATTGCAGGAGTCCCTCAGAGAGGTGAGTCTGTTCCGTGGAGTGTGCTACCTGACTTGAAGAGCGTCCCTGGGGGCAGCAGGCACCTCTAGTGGATAGAGCTCTTCAGTTTACAAGTGGATAGTGATACGACTTTTGATTTCGTCGTCTTCTGCAGTGTTGAGACATGAGCCCAGGACTTGGTGTGTGCTGGGTCAGTCCCTCTGGGCTTTCCTTGCAATGCCCGACATCCGTCTTTTAACACTCGCTGTGTGGTTGAGCTGCTGAGTGGCCTAGATTCTGGTTAAGTATGGTATGCTTATGGTGTGACTGGGCAGCTCCTCTGCAGTCACTAGACTACAAGGCATGCGAAAGCAACACATGGTTCTTTGGGAGTTTATTGGAAACTTCCTTGGGGGCGTAGGTTTGACAGTTTAAAAGTGGATTGCCTTATAGTCTCTTCCAGCACAAAATCAGATGAAGTGTTCTGTGAACGTATCGTTTAGCTGGCAGTCTAGTCCTTAGTTCGGAGCAGGGCCCATCTCAGAACCACCACAGGCACCTGCCTGCCATCACAGGCTATTGTGGGTGGGCTCAGCATCACCCACAAGTCCCTCAGTGCCATACTCAGGCTGTTCACAGCCCACAGGTACAGCTTCTGATGGTGCTGATGCCACCCATCTGAGTGCCATGAAGCAGTGTGAGGCAGGCCGAGTGCTTGGTGATTCAGGTCTAGTTCATGAGACAGACTGTCATTTGGGTAGCTCAGGCTGGCCAGGAATTCAGGCTCCTCAGCCTCCTGAGTGCTGGGATTACAGGTGAGCCCCACCATGTAGCTCACTGATGGTCTTTTCCAGTTACTGCTCTGCCCAGGGGGTGACACCCTGCATGAGTAGACCCACCAGTGCAGTGTGGGAGATCGTGACTTCCTAGTAGCTGGGTTTCCTCACAGCAGCAGCCAGCCCGCGGATTTGTTCTCAAGTTGCTCATCAAAGTTCCTGTTTGGTTCTTTATGTAGTGTTTTATACTTTCCTTGGGCAAAACCTGGAATTGGTTTATATGCATTATATTTCTTAAAAAACCTGGCTTCTGTGTTTCTGCTATAAACTGTGTAATGTAGGTGGAAGCGCTCCAGAGAGTTCCTGAGCACTCACGCTGTCGTCCACGGTCAATAAAGCTCTCAGAAGTGGTGGTTGTGTCCTGTGTGTTGGGGGGCTACCAGACTCTTCTAGCCACTCTGCTGCTGTATGGTCGTCAGAAGTGCCAGTCACATGGGAACCACATGACCAGCAGACAATCTGGAATTATGTGCTGAAGAAGGTCATCTTGTCTCCAGCCCCTCAGGAATTTGGTGACTTAGAGGGAGCCTGCTCCCAACACTGTGGTGCTGGTGATGGGGGTCGTCTGCAGATGGTGAAGACCCGTAACCCCCCTTCTCACTTGGGTGTGTTTCCTGTTTACTCAAGCCTTTACTCACCATTGTGCCAGAATGTTGTATTTCCTTAGGACCGTGCGTGGGTGCCCTCTCCCCTTTCACGTCCACCCAGTACTGACCACCCTCTGCCCACTCACAAAGACAAGACAAAGGTGGTGGTTTTGCCTTCAGACTTCTGTGTGCTGGATTGTGGCATGAGGTATTTTTATTCCCTTTTGTTAGTACTTAGAACCATCTGGTACATTGTAAGGCAAATGATTAACACATCTCACCCCTCATCCATCTGTGAGTCAGGGATGCCAGCCACAGCCCCTTGACATCAGTGGGTCTGTTTCTCAGGTAAGATGTCCCTTGCTGGGGTGTAGGGCACTGGGAGAGGACTGTGCTGATCTGGCCAACTTGCATTGTAGAGGGCTGTATGCATGAAGGGAATGGCAGCCACCCAGTCACCCTAGAGAACAGGCAAACAGTTTTCCACTGGGAGGCTCAGGTAGTGTTTGGCAGCCAGGTCCCTAGGGGAGTTTGTACAGGATGTGGACTGTCATCCTGTCTGTACCCCATGCCCAGAAGGAATGAGTATAAAAAGAGAAAGACTTGAAGACAGGCATGATAGATACTACTAGAGAATGTGCAGGTTCAAACCATAGCGTCAGGAGGAACTGGGTCCAGTCACCAGGGCTGGGATTACGTACCATTACCATACAGTGCTTCTCAACGAAGCTCACTCAATACCCACCCCGTAACGGAACAGCACAAATGGCCCCGGTCAACGACATACAGCTTCTCATGCTTGTGAAACAGACAGTAAAACATCACAGCCTTAGAGCCCCCACTGTACACACCACGCACAGGACAGTGACGCCCAGGTATTGCACTGGTATCTGCTTCTCTTAACAGCAAACAACCCCACTACAGTTTGTAAATAAGAATCACAAACAATTTGGTCAACTTCCACCGAGGAAATAGGTCTGGTAACCAGGGTCTCACTGGAGCCAAACTCTTCGGTGGAACGGAGTGTGCCACAAATTGCTTATTAGTCAAGGAAAGTGAGTCCTACCAATGTCCTATTATTATAAAAGTAGAAAGACTGGAAAAAAAATGAAATCCAAAAGTGATCTCATTCGCTTAAGACTGCGCCATGTGTTGTAGACACTGGAAAAACCCATTTTGGAAAGTAGCAGTCTGCAGGTGAGAAGAACACAGTCCTTCCCTAAGAAAAGAAGCGCACTTGTGTCTCCAGGTGAACAGATGGGTGGGCCTGCGCCGGGGTGTGCCTGCGCCGGGGTGCGCGCTTGCAGGGCAAAGACTGGCATTTGGCACTGATGACAATGTCTCAATACTGGCACAAGCTCAAGTGCCCCCATGAGAATGGCAAGACAAGCCCTCCCCCCAGGCCTGGAGGGGAGAGATTAGTGCTGGAGAGGACAAGGGGACAGGCCTGTGGAGGGAGGGGCGAGGGCCACTGCAGATCTTCAGTGTGTTCAGACAGCTGTGGATTTTGCTAGGCTCCATTCTATCCTCCAAGAAAGCAGCCCTGGCTGGAACAACCAGTGTGTCCAGCCATCAATACAGGTGAGATTCTTTGTGACTCAAGATGTGGGCTCGGGAGGCCGAGCTGGTGGCACTTCGGATGACTTCCATCCACCTAAAAAATGGAAGAGACATGAAAGTACCTTGGGTGACTGTATATACCTCTGTTGGTTTAGAACAACCCTAACGTTGATTGAAAGACCAGAGCTCATCAAAGAATGCACTACTGTTCAAGCAGAGTCCTTGAACAGGGTCCCTGTAACTGTAGAGGACCAAAGTCTGAGAGCCATCGATTGGCACACCTCACAGGAGGCGTTTCAAAGACCCCGTAAGGGCTGCATTCCTGCATTCCCGTCCTGTCCCACTTGATGGGGCCATCATTTGGTACACTTGCAATAAATAGGGGGAGCACTGTCTGTGGGACACACCAAGTCTGGGCATTGCTGGTTGTCACGGTTGACAGTGTTACTGGCACCAGCTCCCAGGCTTCTGAGATGTGCTCAGAGTGATGTATCCCAAGTTACCTGGTTCAACACATCTTGAATGCAGAGAAAGGAGGCCACTACTCTTAAGATTCGGCGTGGCAAGGCTTCATGCCTTGGATCTCTCCAGGTGAGGATCTAGACTGAGAACTGCTACCTTCTGGGCCCGTTTGCAAGCAGTTAGGTGTAGGGAATGCTTGACTGGCTTTCATGAACATTTACTACGGACTGCTGGTTGACCTAGAAATGCTTTGGGCCAGCGAGGGAACAAACAGCAGCAAGGCCAGAAGAGAACTTGTTCCAAAGTGGGGAACTGGCACGTTGGGCCCCTGGTGGGTTAACTACAGTCCAGTGACTTCAGGCGTCTGGTGGTGATATGGGATGCACTGCCCAGAGTTCACGCCCAATAACCTGCCCGCTTGTGTGTCTCTTGAGATGAAGACCATTGCCCCGGGGTCTCCTACCCCAACACTCATGTGATCCTTTGGCTGTCCATTAGGACTGCTTATGCACCACCTTCCCGTTATGTGTGTATGGTAGAGGACGGAGCAGAATGTTGGCGTGTGCGCACCACACCTGGTAAAGACTGACATCACTGAGGGAGTTGGGACTGCTCCTACTGATGCCACACTGTGGGGCCAGGAATAGGAAGCAGGCCTACAGAATACACACCAACTCAGAGAAAAGCCCTGATATCAGGAAGGGGATAACCACAGTCCTGCAGTTGGGCTGTGCACACACAGGAGGCGGCACCTACCTCTCGAATGTGTATTCACTTTCAGCTCTGAAGTAGTACACGTGGGACTTGAAATGCAGCTTAAACACATAGTCCTTGTGAATGTTCTCAGATTCCGAGGGAATGGTGAGTGAGTAACCCAGCAGAGGCAGGCTGGCGAGGGGGTGATTGTCCTGAAAAGATGGACGGGGCTCTGAGGAAGTGCTCACCAGGGCTGCTGCTCTAATCGAGGTCAGGAATAAGCAGAGGAAGCCTGTCGTGGCCAATATGCCATCATCCCACTAGTGAGTCTAGAGAATGGAGTCTCTTCCCTTAAGGGCCAGTCTGTTAGGATAAGCTGGCACGTGGCTAGGAGACCACCCTTAAGAAGGTGTGTCCACCTTAAGACAATGTGTGCACATTTTCTTTGCCAGAGTCTGCCCATAGTGTAGTGCCTTGAGCCACCGTGAGGTCTACCTGAGTCCTGACTCGGAAAAGTGATCTCTTTCTCATCAACCTTCTACTTTGGGGTGCTGGCCAGAGCCCAAGTGTACTTTTAAACTCCCTACCACTGCTTTGGGCTTCCTTGCTCTTTAGAAAAGCTCCCCTCCCAGCTGTGTGGCTGACTTCCATGACAGCTTATCTTTTCCATTTTCCCAGAAGCTGTGAGATGAATGCCTTGCCCTGGGCCCTGGTATTTTCCTTTTAAATGCTATAAATTGTCCTGAAGTTTCCATTTGGGTCCATTCTTAAATTCAAGAAGACCAAGAGGGACTCCTGAGACTTCTGATTAATGTCTTTCCTGCTTTTAATTCAGTCGGCAAGAAAACACCCCCCCCAATACTGAGTCACCCCTCCCTTTCTGAGCAGCAGCTAGTAAGGGAGCTGCTTACTTAGAAGCCCATCTTTGAGCAAATGGACAGTGTCACTTAGAGCTGCAGGTCTCCAACAGACATGGCAGGCCCTGGAACCCCACATTTCCTGCCGTGCATGTGTTTCACCAGGCACTCTGCTTGAGCAGGCAGACCTCAGACTGTGGGCCACTTACCTGGTGTGATTTGTAGAAGAACAGGCAGAAGTTGGTGAACACCACCCACAGCTTCTGCCATCCATTGCTGTTTTTGAACTTCCTCAGCAAGTTCCCAGACAGCTGGTTCTGAAAGACAGGTGGGGAGACCCTTGTCATCCACTGCATCTCAAGATTCCAGGTAGTCCCTGTGGGTGGGTCCTGGAGACTCTGGCACTGAGAACAGGTTTTCCACAACAGGCATGTCATTGCATCAAGAGGTCATCGGATTGTATGGTGAATTCTTGTCACCTGTCACAGATCAGGCCCTCTCACGGGTTGAGTTCTTACCGTGGTCACCCCTGAATGTGACTGTCGGGGAGTAAGGTGGCAGCTGTTGTAATTAGTTAAAGTAGTCATACTGGGCTTAGGAAGGGCCCTCACCCCGGGATGGTGTCCTAAAGAAGTGATGGGGGACACCATGGAAGCAGAGGTTAGAGCAAGCCATCCACCGTCAGAATACCAAGGATGGCCAGCCAATGAGCTGGGGAAGGCAAACTGAGAAGCCATCCCCCTTCACTGGGAGACCCAGGATTGAGGGAGGCCCTCCTGAGCAGTTCTATGCTGCCACCTAGTGGGGAAGCCCAGAAGCCACTCAGCCGCCTCTCCAGGCATCCGAGTCCCCCAGTTCCTCTAAGAATTCAGCGGGGCAAGGACACTGCACAGACATGTGCACCAACTCCCAAAGACGGGTCCATTTATGCCCTCCGTCAAGGTGACATTAGACGACACGAAGAAGCTGGAATAATGCCACCCACAGTTCACCGAAAATGGTTAGGTGGGCAAATTTGTATCTATCAGTGCACAGTTCAAAAAACAACCGGCCGGGCAGTGGTGGGCACACACGCCTTTAATCCCAGCACTTGGGAGGCAGAGGCAGGTGGATCTCTGTGAGTTCGAGGCCAGCCTGGTCTACAGAGCAAGATCCAGGACAGGCACCAAAACTATACAGAGAAGCCCT